GGGGGGGGGAAGCTCGGGGGTGCGGCTGGGGAGGGAGCGACTTCAGGGTGTCCCCTGCGAAATGATGTCACCCGATCAATATTTTCGGGGGGAGGGACCGATCCGACCAATTCCCGCTACGAACCGGGCTCTGGTAGCGAAGCTGGGATGCAGCCGAATCGATCGGGCTGATAAGAGCGAGCTATAAAAGGCCGGGGGGCTGCCTTTCCCCCTCGCTCCATCCCCGCGGAGCAGCCGGCGCAGCCGCAACGCCCCGCCGGTGCCGTCCGTCTCCCCGCGGGTATGGGGCCGCGTCCCGCCGCCCCCCTGGCCCTCCTGGGGCTGGCCACCGCCGCCTTCTCCTTACCGCTGCCCGACGCCGGTCCTCACGTTAACTACGGCTGGGGGGAACCCATCCGGCTGCGGCACCTTTACACCGGCAGCAAACACGGGCTCTTCAGTTGTTTTCTGCGCATCGGAGGAGACGGGCGAGTGGATGCCGCCGGTAGCCAGAGCCCGCAGAGTGAGTACCGGGGATGGGGTGGGGTGGAGGAGCTCACGGTCCTTCTTTCCTCTGTGGTTTCCCTCCAAAAAAAAAATAAAAAAATAAAAAAAAATAAAACCTCTCCCCAGGTCTGCTGGAGATCCGCGCCGTGGCCGTGCGCACCGTGGCCATCAAGGGCGTGCGGAGTTCCCGTTATCTCTGCATGGACGAGGCGGGGAGGCTGCGTGGGCAGGTGAGCTGTGCCCATCCCGGAGTCCCATTCCACGGCGGGAGGTGGGGGGGTCTGCTCCCGGGTTCCGCTTTCCCGAGGGAGTTTTCCAGCCCTGGAACGGTAGACGAGACCAAAGGGCTGGCAGATTATTTGGGGGGTTTATCGCTGCGGTTGGTAAGGGGTTAACAAAGCCTTGGGGTCCCCAGCACCCCCTTTTCTCTGTAGGACCCGTGATTCTTGTCAGTGTTACTGCCTGAAAGGATGATTAGAAGGCAGCAAGGAAACGTCATTTAGAAAGCAAAGTATGCGTTGCGTGTCTCCTGCCAAACTATACCGAAAATACAGTCCAGGGCAAAATTGCATTTATGTTTAAAAAGCCTCATCGGCGGGTGGCTGCGTTTCTGCCACAGAAATAGATTAAGTCGCGCCGTAGAATCTGAATAATTCTCAACGCTCAGGTTAAGCATTCTGAAAAAAACCCCAAGATTAATTCTTTGGCAAGGAGATGCAGCCAAATAGCTGCCAGGACACGAGTCCCAGAAACGGGGGGGGGCTGTCTCTGAGGTCGTGCCACACAGAAACAGGATTTCGAGGGGAAGAAGGACTCTTCTCCACTGTCTTGCTTCTGACCTGTGATAACAACGTACCTGTGGGACTCCAGGAGGTTGCGGAGTTGAGTGACCCGCTGACACCACTCTGTTAGGTCACGCTTTTTCCCTAGGTATGGCAGCCTGTCAGCTAGTCATTATCAGTGATATAAACTTGTTTTTTAAGCCACGTGAATAAGCTGCCAACTCTAGAACTTGAAGGGTAAGATTCAGGTTCAGTCTGTGTATAACTGCTTTATGGGAGCCTGAGTTTCACAGAGCGACGGCATTTTATTATGCCATAGTAAAGATACAGCTTGATTCTGCTTTGATTACTCCGGCAAAATTTCTGCTGATTTCAGTCAGGCAAGGACTTGGCCCATCGTCAAAACTCCTAGTATCTTTAATAAGAGCAATACTGATGTAGTGATGTTTTTTGAATGCGTACGTAACGTAGGATTAAGCCTTTCTTTCTGAATTTCCTTGCTTTTCGGGACTAGAAGCAATCAATGCCATGATAAGATGCATAGGTTCAGACGATACGGTAGGTCAATTATTAGCTTAATGTTTTAATGTATATCCAAAGCAAAATGATCAATGAAAACAAAGCAGAGGCTGGATCCTTCTCTCATCGGAGCTGCTGGCTGGACCTTCGCAGTCACAGAATTTTAAAGCAGCTTTCATGCAACACTGTTTTGAAGGCATTTGCATGTGCCTTGACTGAGACTGGGTTTGTGGGTGTATATTATTAATTGCAGGGGGTTTTTTTTCTGAAAATACAATGGCATGTAGCTGTGCCCTCACATCTATATGTTGTGGACACCTGCTGTCACTTCTCTGCTAACAGCCCGGGCAGGCAGCTCTGCAGGAGATTTTTTGCCTTATCAGCGCTACACTCAGGAGTAGAAGAAGGAAAGGGCAAATACAGTGTCTGGGGACTGAACTGGGCAACCGCTCGCATTCCTGAAACATGCCCTTTTTTAACACTGGAAAATTGGGGAGTAGGGTTGATTTTTGAATGTGCAGCGTGCCGTAGTCTGTAGTTTAGGGGAAATTGTGTAACTGCTGAATATACTGACACACTATAAATTCCTCCTGTGAAAAAAATAATCTGGAAATACTTAAAGCGCGTTTGGTACTTGTTTAAAAAAATACACTAGAGACAATCCCAATGAAATGAAGAGGGAATGATATAGCTGAGACATGGGGAGCACAATCAATAACTGTTATTTGTAATGCGCACTTGCTCAAGAAGCTGTTTTATTTCATCATCCTTGTTAGTGAGGCTGAGCACTCATAGAAACAGACAGCTAACAATTCAGCCATAAATTTGTATCATATAGACATATTTTTCTGAGATATGATGTGTGTAGAAGGATAAATATTGCATAATTTTATTTGGAGAAAATGCCTTTTTAAAAATTATTTGATTAGTTTAAAAAGTGCTTTTAAAAGACACCCAAATGCATGCGCTTAATTGTACTCCATATTATTAAGGATGTTTGAGAAAGGACTGAAGAGAATCAAATACGCGCTCTCTTCAGACAGGCAGAGCATTCACGTAAGGACACTTTTGTCACTGCAGACTGGGACATAATCAGCAACTGTCTTTTATTGACCACGAGTTCAATCACCTGTAGTGGCTGAACCTGAAATAGCACCGGAGTTGTAAGAAATACAGTGCTTGTGTAAGGATCTGGAAAGGTCTGACCTGGTGATGCAAACTCCTAATACATTATCCGTACAGTATATTACAAATGTAATTCTACAAATTCATACCTAAGAAAATTCTTCTATACAAAATCTTAACTTGCACTGGTATTAATTTGACAGTTCTAACTAATATGTAATGAGAAAATAACACTGCGTTAACTGCTCTTTTGTAATTTCAGTAAATGCTGAGTTTAAAAAAAGGCTATTATCTTTTCAGTATTGTTTTACTGATTGGCCATGTTTGCGTAAGTGCTGTCTTTGACAGCGCTGCCTTTCTACAGACGTGATCCTGAAGCCCTTACACAGGCAAATCTCCAACAGAGCTGGAGTTTTATACCTGAGGATTGTTGGACTAGATCTCATGATTGCAGTTAAGTACTGTCAGCAATTAAGGACAGTTTATCTAAATGAGCACTGCCATCTGAGATTCTTTTTCCATGTGCTCAGGACAGGGTGAGCGTGGTAGCTGTGGAGAAGTACACCTCCAGGATTCGAAGCTTATTTAATGGGATGGATGTGCATTAACTTCAGGAGTTCTGGATGAGGTCTTTTCATGGCCTCGTAACCCAAAATGCATACTGTGTGCAACGTGGGGAGCTCTAGTAGAATGGAATGGAATAGAATAGAATAGAATATTTCCATCGGAGATCAATTCAGATGGAAAACAATCATCTCATCCAACGGTCTGACCAGTTCAGAGCACTTCATCTCGGTGGCTGTGGTCCGTCACTGAAAGAGCAGTCACCAGAGCAGTGGGTCCCACCTGCATCCCTGCAGCAGCCAGGCAGAGAGGCAGCGGGCGGCTCACCGGCACGGGTCTGGCAGCGGGGTCCGCAAGGTGCACCGAACCGGGGCACCCGTGACAAACCAGAGGGACACCCCCACTGACAGCAGAGGGAGAAGGGCTGGTCCCACCAAAGGCTTTGTTGTGGTTGAATACAATGAGTCTGGTGGGTGTGTTTGTAATTCTCGTTACTCCTTGCTGTTCAGCTCAGGTATTCCACTGAGGATTGTTCCTTTGAAGAGGAGATTCGTCCAGACGGCTACAATGTATATAAATCAAAAAAATACGGAATATCGGTGTCTTTGAGTAGTGCCAAGCAAAGACAACAGTTCAAAGGAAAAGATTTTCTTCCACTATCTCACTTTTTACCTATGATCAACACCGTGCCCGTGGAGTCAACAGACTTTGGTGAATACAGTGATTACAGCCAGGCCTTTGAACCAGAGGTGTACTCCTCGCCCCTCGAAACGGACAGCATGGACCCCTTTGGCATCGCCTCCAAACTGTCGCCGGTGAAGAGCCCCAGCTTTCAGAAATGACTCTGATCACACACACACATTTTTGAAGAAATATTGCAGAATACTGCAGGTTTTTTAGCTTTTCATGTAGTGATATTTTGAACTTTATTGTGTACTTCAGTACGGAGCCAGCCTTTTCCTTGCCATGTGTTGTACCTGTAAGAGATGGGTGCCCAGAGGCTATTCTATAAGTCTAAAGAATTGCCTATCCATAGTTTTATTTAGAAAAGGATTAAATAACAAAAGCTTAACAGCTTCATCAAAGTTCCTCCATTACCGTGGTGATGATAAAATAATTATAATTTTTCTACATCAACTTCATTACCACGTATGTTCACCTGTTATTTCTGCTCACAGAGGCAAATGCAGAAAACCTTTTTTCCAGTCACAGGGAGGTTAACGATCTCTTAGCTTCAGAGGCCTTAAAGACAAACATTTGGTACGCAACACGATTAAGGAAAACCTAGCAAATGTGGTTACATGAACTAGACTTAATGCTGTTCCTTGAAAAGCTGCTGACAACATTCTGGGAAAACTTTCTATTGAAAGCATACCACTGAAAAAAACCCAATTCTGCTTGTATATTGTGCTTTTTCTTCCCTTAGGAAATAAGGGAAGAAAGGGAAAAATTTCTTCCTTCCCTTATTGCTAAAGGATACTTTGGAAAACTGTATCTTTGATTGCTTTTAGAGGCTAATTTATGTTCACTGTGGGATCAGCATCATCCAGCAGAGAGTTCTCATTAACATTGGTGAGAATTCAGTGTGTGGTTGGAAGAGTGCACAGAACTAGTATATATGTTCACCAGGTAGGGAATGAGCAGCTCAAATTAGCATTTAAATCAAAGTTCTGTTGTATATAAGCATGCGTGTCATTATCAAAAGCAGAGAAAGACTAAAAATGGATGATGTATAGGTCAAATCAATTGCAAAACAGGTTTTCGTGTTTAACCTTTAACCATCAGCAATTCTTTCAAGTCCCTTCCAGGCTCGATTCTGCAGCCATGGGAATCAGTGAAGAGGCAGTTTAGTGACTTATATGCCGCAGAACTGGGTGAGCCACGCCGTTCTTCTTGCAGGAAGGGATGATGAGTACCTCGTGGCCAAAATGCGGGTGTCTGACGTCTTCAGATCTGTTCTCCCGTTGTAATGATTTGATGAAGGAATAACCAAGGTGAAACCAAAGAAAAAAAAGAAAAAAAAAAGCAATGCGAGAAAAGGGTTCAGGGATTCTACTCGTTTCCAAAGGTTCATCTATAATAGACATTTCTGTACAAGAAAAGCTCTGCTGGAAATACTGGTGTTCTTCCGACCTAGCACTTCATTGCCAATGCAATATTTATAATTAATTTATTGAATACATACATCTGTTTATTTTGTTACTGTTATTTATGCTCAAAATTCTATTTATATACTCTTGAAGGTGGGTTTTTTAGTTGTAACAAATTTTGTGAAGTTTTGTAATCATGAAATTTTAGCAAATGATAGCTTTTTAAATTTCTGTGCATTATCAGTAGTGTAATGTGTACATTTGCAATAAAAAAAAATCATCTTCAACACAGAAACCTAGCTGACTCCTTTGTCACTCCTTTAGTCTAGAGACTTCAAGGAGCTTTAGCAAACCGTGGCATCTGGCTCCGCAGCAGCCGTGTGAAGATGGAGTCCCTTGCGAAGGTGGCGTAGTTGAGGTACAACAGGTAAGGAGAGAGAAAGGGGTTTTCCCAAAGCGAGGCTCTGAATGCCAAGGCTGGAATTTGAGACTGTCTGCTGCCAGTTACTGACGAGCTCCATGTGAAACAGCAAGGCTAAGAAAAGTATCTCTGTTGCGGAAGGGTTTTGGAAACAGCTCATTAAGTTTTGACCTTGGGATATGTGAAGGTCACTCCATCTAGTCTTAAGTTGTTCTTCTCTTAATACAACAAATGGGTGAAGCTCAGCTTTAAGCAGTTTTAAGCTGTGTGTGTCCTGATGTTTTCCTCCTGTTCTCCTCCTGTTCCTCATCATTGAATCATAGAATAGAATCATAGAATCACTTAGGTTGGACAAGACCCTTAAGATCACCGAGTCCAACTACAAACCTAACACTGCCAAGTCCACCACTAAACCATGTCCCTAAGCACCACATCTACACATCTTTTAAATATCTCCAGGGATGGTGACTCGACTACTTCCCTGGGCAGCCTGTTCCAATGCTTTGACAACCCTTTCAGTGAAGAAATTTTTCCTAAGACCCAATCTAAACCTCCTCTAGCGCAACTTGAGGCCATTTCCTCTTGTCCTACCAGTTGGTACTTGGGAGAAGAGACCGACACTCACCTCCCTACAACCTCCTTCCAGGTAGTTGTAGATCTACAACAGGCGAGTGCTGCCTGGAGACATCGTCAGGTATACTTCCTCTGCAATAAAGCTGTTGTGGATTTCCATCTATTCTATAAAACATCCTTTTCACACTCCATTTATGTCATTAGACCCTGCTGTTCACACTTCTTGTGGCCTTTGAGGTGCCAGTCACTGAAAGGAGTGCTGACTCCCAGGTGCTTGGAGGAGGTGGGTGATTCCTCGGCGAGATGGAAGAATTCCCTATCAGGTGTGGTTTCTCCGATTCTTCTTTGGCTGCACAAAATCCACCTGAAAAATGCAAAAAATCCTGAGTGGAAGACGGCTCCCTTTTAAAAGTGGGAACCATACTCAACAGTGCAGCCAGGGAGAAAACTCGTTATCTTTGCCTGAAAAAGTTGTCAATTTCTGGCAGGAAAAAGGACTAAACGTTTCTGTTTGGAAACGCTGTGAGTCACAGGAATTGCAGATTTCTTGGCTGGCAAACATCTCCCATGGTGTTTCCCATTCTCCTTTGTGCTGAGCCACTGCCACATATCTGGAGGGTTCCTGGTCCTCATGTACTGGGAGATGTAGTCCTGATTTTCAAGTTGTTGTATTCCAAAAGTTTTCAAGCTTGGGGCATTCTGTTTTTCTGGTTTTCATTTCCAGTTTTGATCAGCTGCTCTATTTTCTTTGAACATCAGATACCTTTCAAGATGTTTTTGTAAAAAATAAAAAAAAAACCCAGAAAATAAAATAAATATGAACTGTTAAAGTTTTGCAAAAAAAAAATCCACTTTTACTTTTCTGCTAAAAAAAAAATTGCACAGTTTTGATGGGAAACACAGCAAATAACAGAGTTCAGAGGGTACTCTAATCATTGAGAGACTTTTTAAAGTAGAAGTAACATTGTTGTTCGTGAATATTGCTCAAGAGCACAAAGATGAATAACTTTACATTTGCAAACAGCATCTTGAGCTCTCTGGTAACCCTATTTGCTGACACCTTTGGATTTGCATCTTCCACCAGCAGTACAGTGTTTCTTACTGCAACAGTATGGTTAGAGGTTGCTTCAATATTTATTCAGACGGAGGGAAGAATGCCGGGAGCTAAATTACCCACACCGCTTCCTGGAGCACTTTAGTTTTCCTTGGAGGTTTCCCATCCAAGCTCTGACCAGACCTGGCTATTTTGCTTATAAAATCTGACAAGATCACAGCTTGAAGTGGAAGGATTACTGGAAAATGCTTTCCCTACCATCAGACACCTGACTCGGTCAGGAACTTGGTGTGCAAAACCTCGAAACACCATTGCCTTTGGTTCTGTGGGAATGTAAACACCACCACCACCATTCTCAATATACCTCCCAGTTGATTATCGTTTCTCAAAGACAGTAGGACAATTGCACTTCTTTCATTTGCAATAGTACATTTTTACAGCCCTAAAAGGTTTTTAAAGGTCAGGTGTCAAAAGCCTCCTTGTGAAGTCTCAGTTAGAGGCTATGATGTGCAAATACGAGTTGTTAGAGTAGTGGGAAGGAACATCTCCATTTACGCTTTGGGGAAGTGTAAAAAGCTATAAATCCTTTATTCAGGAGCCAGAGTATCGACTTTACCTTTGCTCAAAGCACTGAAACTATGTTCATGGAAAATTTGGGCCCACTCTTTCTACACTGCCAGTGTACTTTGTATATGAATGGAGAATGACACGGTAAATTAAATAAATGTAGTTTCTTTCCTCAAAAATGTATGGAAGCCAACCCTTCTTTTGGGCAGCATCAGACGCAATGAAAGCAGAGATGCATTTCCCCTGGAAGCAAATGGGAGTGCAAAAAAGACATCATTAGGATTCGGAACTCGGGGTGAATTTGTGACAGTCTAGGCACACAGCAAGTTCATCAGGAACCCCGTTGGATGGGACTGACTGTTGAAGGTAAGTAAGAATGCCCCTGAATAAGGCTAGTGTTTCATAGTCTTCTTGCCAGGACATTATTATATTTTCAGCATTTTTCATCAATCCTGCTACCTGCTGAGATCAAAGGACTTGTTTTTCATTAACTTCCAAAGCAGGATTTAAATTGTAGCTTAGAGGAAACCTTCAAAGACACCTTGTATTTCCACTGACACCAGTGAACGATAGGTGTTTGCTTGTGATTGTGTGGTTGTAGAGCAGGTAGGTATTCACACCTGGCAAACCTTCAGTGATTTCATGTGAGATCCAGTGATACCTACACTTTAATTGATGCACCGAATGAGCTGGCCGACTGACTACAGTCACTCTATATAAATCAGTATAGCCTGCCGTGATGGAGCATTTTTAATGAACTGTGCTGGTGCATCTGGTTAGCTAAACTTTTAGTGGCATGACTTTATTTTCACCCTAATGTACTTTTATTTTTTCTTTAGACCCATCTCTGGATTTTAAAGCTGTGTTTTCGAGTCCTCTGCCCTCCTGTGTTTGATTCAGAGGCTAACAGACCCCCTGTACCCCTGTTTGGATTGGCAGACTCCTTTGGTGGGGCCAAAGCCACATTTTCATTAAGCAGCTGGAAAACAACAGTGTAAGTTAACATTAAAACGTATGCTTATAAATAAGTATAAATGCTTTCTTTTACCAGTGTTGATCTGTAATAACAAATAAATGTTGTAACAAAGCAGTCTAGACCGGCACACTAAAGTTTGGTTTGGGTATAGACATCAAAAATACACTGCTTGAAAATCAGAAACGTCTCCAGTCAATGCAAAACCAGCTTGTGTGGGAGCCCGGGACTCGCAGGGCTGGAAACAAGCCCCCTCGTCCATAGTTTTTTGGTTTTGTTTTTTTTTTCCCGGTACTACAACTCCCGATAGTTTCCTGAGAAAAAGACCAAAATTGATGCTTTCACCCCTATCGCTGCTTTTTTTTTTTTTTTTT